ATTTCCCACTCTCCCCCCTCCCGTATTTCCCACTCTCCCCCCTCCCGTATTTCCCACTCTCCCTGGCCCCCGGTCTCTCTGCTCCTCCCCTCCCCCCGTTTTCTTCTCTCTGTCTCCTCCCACTTCTCTGGGATCTCACAGTCGCCTCTTCTCCCTGTCTCTCCCTGTCTCCCCGCCATGCGCCTCTTCTCCTCACCCATCTCCTTCCCTCCTCTCACTCACCATCTCCATCTGGCCACCTTAGGACAGATGAGAAGAAAACCTTGGGGAAACACTGTTCCCTCTGATCCCTTCCTACCTCAAGAATTGGGCCCCCTCACATCGGCCCACCAGTCCTGTCCCATAATCTCACAGCGTCCCGCCCCCACACCAGCCTTGGGGCCAGACAGGACCCCGGCTTCTGCCCCATCTTATAGAGGAAAACATCGGAGGCCCGAAGGACCCAAGGGCCCTTCTCAGTGGTCAGCCCACAAGTAAAGATGCAACCCTGCCCTGTACACAGCCTGGAAGCAGCCTCCAAGCCCGGCGCCTCCCAGAACACCGGGCCGAGACCACCGGCGCCTCCCAGAACACCGGGCCGAGACCAGCAGCCGAGCGGGTGGTTGACAGCGTCCGGCTGTGTGCTGGTGGCTGGGGGTGTGCAGCTGTGATTGTGTGGCTGTGTTGTGTGTCCCTGTAGGTGGACGGTTGTGTGTGACTTTGATGGTCTGTCGTGTAGTTTGTGCAATTACATGCTTGCAGCTGTGTACTTAGTTGCGACTGTGCAGTTTCAAGGTGTGAGTATGTGTTATCATATTAATGACTATCAGACACATGACACCAAAAAAGCCAAGCGCAATGCTGTCGGTTCCGACTCACAGCGACCCTACAGGACAGAGGAGAACTGCCCCACAGGGTTTCCAAGGAGCGGCTGGTGGATTCAAACTGCTGACCTTTTTGGTGAGCAGCGGAGCTCTTAACCACGGCGCCACGAGGGCTCCATACATGTTAACGAGGCACGATTCAGTGTCTTGAGTGCGACTTGTGCTGTGTTGTGCCTGTGGTGTTATGTAAGCGGGTGACCGTGGCTGTGGATGATTAGGCTGCGTGTACAAGCCGGCTGTCGGGAGAGCGTGCCTATGTGCACACGTGTCCCTAACTGCGTGTGGGTGATGCACCTGGGTGTACCTGGGTCACTTTAGACAGCAGCCATGCCATTCACCTGTAGGTGAAGCCAACCGTGCGTGCTCATCTTCCCCCGGCTGAGCCAGCGCCCCTCTCACCTCCACCTTCCCAGAGCCATCGTCCACCATCCTGAGCTGCGCCGCTAGCTCAGGCCGGCTGTGCAGCTTGCCCACATCCAGCTTTACTTGCATCAGTTTACCTGGGGATGGGGCGGAGGGCGTCAGTGGCGCCTCTGACCTGTCCCCGCCCCCCAGACCCCGCCCACTCACCTCTGCCACCCCCCCCCCACAAGGGTCTGGATCCCGCCCTTCCAGCCAGGCCCCGCCCCACAGATCAGGGCCCGCCCATCTGACTAGGCTCCACCCCGCCCCT